TAAGAAAGCTGTCAGGCACTTTCTGGGCCTATGCGCCGACTATCGCCGGTTAATTGCCGACTTCGCACGGATTGCGACGCCGTTAACTCGCCTCACTAGAGACGACGCCATCTTTGAGTGGAACCACGAACAGCAAGCAGCGTTTAATGACCTCCGCCAACGTCTTCAAACACCTCCAGTGCTTGCTCACTTCGACAAGCAAGTGCCAACAATGCTTCACACTGACGCAAGCAAAGTAGGCCTCGGAGCTGTGCTTGTGCAGTGGCAAGAGGACACCGAACGAGTGATCGCCCACACAAACAGGACGCTAACACGCGCTGAGGCCAATTATTCAACAACTGAGAAAGAATGCCTCGCCGTGGTCTGGGCAGTTATGAAATTTCGCCCGTATTTGTATGGCCGCCCTTTCAAAGATATAAGTGACCATCATTCACTCTGTTGGTTGACTAATTTAAGAGTTCCAACCGGCCGATTAGCGCGGTGAAGTCTGAAGTTACAAGAGTTTGATATGACAGTCATACAGAAGTCTGGGAAGCGCCATACGGACGCTGACTGCCTGTCTCGATCACCAGTACAGTCAGCTTCTCTTTCTGACGACGACGATATGGCCTTCCTTGGTGTTCTCGACGCGTCCACGATTGCCCAACAACAACGAGGTGATCCTGAATCGCTTGATTTGATTAATTACGTGGACGGACGTTCTTCGAGGGCACCTGAGTCTTGGCAAGGACGTTATCGTCGTTTTGCTTACGCAATGGCGTCCTCTACAAAAACTTTTCATCCATCGGAGCTCCCTATTTGCTCGTTATTCCTGCACTCCTTCGAACTGAAGTGCTCCAAGCTTGTCACAACGAGCCGACGTCTGGCAATTTAGGCTACACTTGCACATTGGCAAGAGTACAGCAGGGATACTACTGGCCACGACTCACAACAGCCGTCAAGCACCACATTCACACTTGCCTCGATTGCCAGCGACGCAAGTCACCTCCAAAGAGACCCGCCGGTGAGCTGCAACCAGTTCAGGTTCCACGTAGACCGTTTGACCAGATAGGAATGGATATTTTGGGACCTCTTCCTACTTCTAATGCAGGGAATCGCTGGGTTATAGTCGCAACAGACTACCTAACCAGGTATGCCGAAACAAAAGCTATCCAAAAGAGCACCGCAGTGGAAGTGGCAAGATTTTTCATAGAAAATATTGTGCTACGCCACGGTGCCCCTACTATCGTGATCACAGACCGCGGAAGAGCATTTACGGCAGCTCTTTTAGACCACGTCCTGATGCTTAGTGGAACGACTCACCGTAAGACCACTGCGTACCACCCGCAAACGAATGGACTAACGGAGCGCCTCAACAAGACGATTGAAGACATGCTGTCGATGTACGTGGATGTCCAACATAACAATTGGGACGAAATTTTACCCTATATCACGTTCGCATACAATACGGCTAAACAAGAAACGACTCGCATGACTCCATTCAGCTTGGTTCACGGACGGGAGGTACGGACTATGCTGGATGCGATGTTGCCACATGAATGGGACGCTACCGACACAGGCGCTGACGTGTTCACTGAACGCGCGGAAAAAGCTAGGCAGCTCGCCCGCTTACGGATTCATCAGCGACAAGACTACGACGCAGGCCGCTACAATGCTCGCCATAGAACTGTAACATACAAAATCGGTGACAGAGTGTGGGTTCGGACACCCGTACGAAAACGTGGACTCTCCGAGAAGCTGCTAAGGTGATATTTCGGACCATACCGAGTATCGCGCAAACTAAGTGACGTCACCTACGAGGTCATCTCCGACAGTCCCCATTGCCCAAGGCGTCGCCAGCACCAGCCTGAACTTGTTCATGCAGTGCGTATGAAGCCGTATGTGAGTGACTGACTGCACGTTAAAAAAAATACTGTGGGTCTGAATCAGCATCGGGGCGATGCTATTATAAGGAGGGGCAAGTGACACGTGTTTATATGAAAAAGAACGATGATAGGAATGTTTTGTGAATTCCAGCTAGTGGGTCAGGTGGTTTTTCGGGACGACAACGAAGCAGGCGTCTTGCTGCACAGAGAGCCGAATACAGCTCGCGCGTAAAAGAAGGCAATATGCTGCTTTAGTAACGCTTGACATAGCCAAGGCGTATGACAGTGTGGAGCACTTCATATTGTTAAATACGCTAGAGAGATTGAACTTCCCACAATATTTTATTGAGTGGGTGGCAGAATTCTTAAAATCAAGAGAATTCTACTGCGTCAAGGATGGATGTTCCTCATCTAGATTTAAACAAACGCGCGGAGTTCCCCAAGGAGCAGTCTTATCTCCAATATTATTTAATGTTTTAATGAGCACAATTCCAACAGAATCAAGAAGTTACTGTCTACATTTATGCTTATGACATCGCACTCTTTGCTGCTGACTGCGGTATTTACTCATTACAACTTAAATTACAAAGATATATTAACATGTTAGAAATTTGGTTGCAGTCGATTTCGTTATCGTTAAATGTCAACAAAAGCGCGCTCATGGCGTTTCCGTTTGCAGAACCAATTTCAATTTCAATTCTATATAAACAGGAACCCATCCAGCAAGTAGACTCTATAAAATATTTGGGAATCATTTATAATGAGAAACTTAACTGGAGTCCACACATAGAGTATATAACTACCAAAGCACAGCGGGCTTCAGGCTTACTACACAAGCTAAGTAACCGGAAATATGGGTTACGGAGGCACACCTTGATAACGTTGTACAAGATGTACATGCGCCCCATCATGGAATTCGGCTGCATATTATTCTCGGGTGGCCCTGCTTATAAAACGAAACCTCTAGTTGTCTTGGAGCGAGAAGCACTGCGAATGTGTCTGGGACTCCCTAGATTTGTGGCTATCAACGTACTGTACCAGGAAGCGCGCCTGCCTACACTACTTTGTCGATTTCGAATTTTGACCGTACAGGCATTTTTAAAATTTTATAGCTTACCGGCAAGAAGATCTCAATATGCTTTTATCGCGAACCCAGACGTCTTCTTTCTTGCTCATTGGCCACGGTTTCACACACCTCAGATAATAATTGTACAAAAAAATCTACAAAGTATAAATGTGAACATTAGAAATGTAATTGAGACTAATGACTCAAATTGTCATGTTATTATTGAGTATGATGATATATTCCCCCAAAAAGCCAAATTACAATTCCTCAAATTTTTAAATAACATATTATTAGATTACTTGGAGCATGCAAAAACTAAAAATATAATCGCCACAGATGCTTCCGTAAATAATCAAAAGGCAGGTGTAGGCATTGCCTCTGATTTGCTTGACTGGTCCTTTTCAGTGAGACTGCCTGATTTTACTCCAGTTTTTGAAGCGGAGCTCTTGGCGATTATTTTAGCTCTTCGAAAACTTCCATCAAATCAAAACAATGCAGTAATAATGACGGATTCTCTTTCAGTTTGTGCAGCGCTGACAGCGTCAGAGAACTCTCGAATTCTAAGCACATTCAAAACATTAGTACCGCCGCAGTTGAGACTCCTGAGATTACTATGGGTTCCGGGTCACTGTGGATTAAGATTAAATGAATTGGCCGATTCCTTAGCACGAGCCGCACTTGATGGGCCAGTTTTGTCCATACTGCCAGATGTAGAATATATCACGGCTATAAGATATCGAAAATCAGCAATCTCCACTGATACGATAGAAAAAGTAATTACATGGACAGATTATAACCACCTCATGTTTCCATGGCAACCCCACTGGAGTCAGTCCAGAAAGCTCGAAGTCTTAATTACTAAATTTCGATGTCGTGTCCCCCCCCCCCCTAAACCTGTATCTACACAGAGCTGGTCAGACAACATCACCCCTCTGCGCATTCTGCGGAGAAATGGAATCACTAGATCATTATTTTTTGTATTGTCGCCGCTACGAGATATTTAGAAAAAGGCTACTAGTTATGCCATTTCGGAAAATAGGCCTTAGATTGACGGCGGAAACGGCGCTAAGCTTTGGCACCTCAGCTTTGGGACATTGCCACAGGGATGCTTTCAATGCCGTTTGCGATTATATTCAGGCAACCAAGCGTATACCTTTGTGATCTTCAATAAAAAAATTATTTATTACTCCCAAGGGCAGAGTGAAGTAAACGCAGCTGAGTGGTAAACATAACACCTCAAATCTCAAAATTGCTCAACTTGATTTTTTTTCTTTTCTTTTTCGTTTGCTCTTTTTATGTTGTTTTTATTTTTACATTAGTCTTATTATAATACCAATTCATTACACATAGTTAAAATGATCACAGAAAAACTGCACTACACTTTCTTGGCCAATCCCCCTGAGTGGGTATGAGCCAACCTCTCAGGAAAACAAAACAAAACAAAACAAAGCTGCACAGCTAATCCTGGCGTCACCGCTATGCATTTGGTGCAACGAAATTGAAAGAATTGAACATTTCTTTTTATTCTGTTATCGTTATTCTTATCAGAGAAAAAGATTTTTAGTAGCCCCATTACAAAAGCTAGGAATACAAGTAAATTTACCAGTATTTTATCACTTGGCGGAACTTCATTTGGTTACTGCCACAGGGATGTATGCTCCGCTGTGTTTGATTACATCAACGCAACTAAAAGATTACCATGCTAGTGAACCACTACCTTTTCAGATCTTTAGTTTATAATTCGTAGTTATGCCTTTCAAAAACAAAAGATGGTTTGACCGCTTGCTCAGCACACATTTTTGTTTTTTCGTAGTATTATTTTAAGCTACTTTTTCAGATTGGCTTCATTTTCAGTTTAGTTTCATTTGAGTATCCTGCCGCCCGGCTCTTGGCCCACCCCCCTTTGTGGGTAAGCGCCATCCATCAAAGGTCATCAGCATCAGCGTCTAATCCTGAATACGCTCTTTTCTCTGCCGTAAGCTGCTGTCATCTTTTGTTCGCGTTGCACTGCGACAATATGTTTAGGTTTCTGTTGATTTCCCCTTGTGCGTGTTCTTAATTCACTGCAGATGTTCACGGGTGTGGAGCTGTTATATGGCATGTGGACGAACTCGCTGGGGCTCATCTCAGACGGTTTCCATATGCTTTTTGACTGTTCTGCGCTGGTTATGGGCCTTGCAGCCTCCTTGCTGGCGAGACGCAGTGCGACGCGAACGTTTCCATTTGGGTAAGAGGCTTTGAAGTATGATTAGTCTTTCTTTTATATGGGGTTATAGGGAAAGGGAGGATTGGAGAAGTTCTCTCATGCAAAAGATCTTTCAGAGAAATTGTGAACACTTGTGGCTCATTGATATGGCAGTGAATGGTGTTAGTAGATATATAATGTGATAGGTAATGTAATTATTGTGATTTGACATCCCAACACCACATTATGATTATTAGGGACACCATTGTGGAGGGCTTTGAAAATTTCGATCACCTGGGGTTCCCTGCCATGCATCTGAATCTAAGTACACAAGTCTCTAGCGTTATGCCTCTATCGAAATGTGGCTACTGCAGTCAGGATATGATTCCACAAGTGATAGTAGACCAAATGATAGCACAAAATCTTAGACATAGTGCACCAATAAACATCACATAACAAGGTGGGCATAATATAGAGTAAACGAAAAAGCTTATTTGGCCACATGCGATAAATATTTGAATTAGAAAATTTTCTATAATTTGTGCAGAGCATCTGTACTTCCAGTTCTGGTGCACGAAATGAAGGGCCATAGTTAGTGTAGTTTGTTGCATGATTAATAGTTTGCTGGAACAGCATTAAAGAACAAGAAAGGCGAAGAGAAAAATAAAGGTGACAAGCAAAAGAGAGGGTCAGAAATGGAAATGAGAGTGAGGAAGAGGACAGGAACTAGTCAAGCGTAGCATAAACAGATTGAGCAAGAAAATAATAGAGAGAAACAAATGTAGAAAGAGAAAGAGTGTAAGAGAGAAAAATCAGAGGAAGAGATAGAAAGAAGCAAAAGAGAAAGAAAGAGGGAGCAAGCGAGAAGTAGAGAGGGAATGAAAGGAAATAGGAAATAAAATGGAAAGTGCAAGAGAGAGAGAGAGAAAGCAACAAAAATAAATTAAACAAACAAATAACGATAGAGATAAACAAACAGAAAAAGTGAAGAAGAGAAAACTTACGAGATACAAAAAAGGGCTTCCAGCTCCATAGTTCTTTCAGGCTTGGCACTGTTAGTGCAAAGCTGCTTTAAATTGTTTGGTGGAACATATACCTTCACTTACTGTTCTAATGCCTAATTGTCCTGTTACTGCAGCAATACTAAAAAAACTGTTTTGAAGGACTACGTAATTGATATAAACTTATTTGGTCATTGTCTTCGTTGTACAGAGCACTTTACACTTAAGACTATACAAAAATCTTTTTTCTATGTGTGTTGAAAATCGTTACCTCCCGTGCGAGATTTTCTGTTTTATGGATGTGATTTCCATTTTCTTGTCTAGTTTTTATTTTTTCTTAACAAGTAGTGTTTTTTTTGTTTATTCATCATTTGCATGAAAAGAAATTTAAAGTCCTGTGTTAGTGTCTTCGTTTATTGTCAGTACTTTAGGTCGTATCATGCACCATATTCTACTGGATTGAAGCCTATGTGTTGACTTGCATGGTTTCAGGTACGGTCGCGTGGAGGTCCTTTCGGGCTTCACGAATGGGCTGTTTCTTGTTGTCATTGCCTTTATGGTCTTCAGTGAAGCCATCACAAGGCTTTTCGACCCTCCGCAAGTCAAGACCGAGCGTCTCCTGGTATGTTGTTGCGTTAGCTTGCGGCACTCTAACCTATCTTATTAATAGGTGTTCCGAGCACTGACTTCACAGATTCTAGCATGCTGTCTGAAAACATTCTGTGCTTCCTCTTTCTAAAGGCCTGCCTTCTTAGCTTTCTTTCCACAAATCCTACTTGTGTTGACGTGTTGTACTTAGCAGACGGTGTGCAAAGCACAAAATGAGGATCGGCGAATTAGTGCCCGTAGTAGCGCCTCCGTTTTCTGTAATAAAACAGTCAACCACGGCACCAAGCTTGCTCACATAATTATGGCCCGCATTACTTCGTCTCTCAGGAATGCAGGCCTGTTTTGCAATAACATGCGATGCCAGATTATTTTTTAGATTTTCTTAATTTTTTTTATAATTTGTCTCTCAATCCCGCTCTTGGGCCATTCAGTGCCGATTGTCAGTCAATCCTTACAAGTAAGCACATGCCACTGTATTACCAGGGTACTGAATTGTAAGAATATTTTATGTACTTTTAAATAACTCCTTGCTCTTCCTCATGCATGCATTGCTTGGCACAATTGGTCACTGAACAGGCATCATACATTACCTTCATCATTACACATTTTCATATAAACGTTAATTAGTGTTTGCATTTTGGCATAACTAAATAGGTAATATGTTAAGTATAGACCTTGCTAGAGGTAAGAAAGTGTATGAGGACTTACATGTCACACAATCACCTTAAATATGCAGGGGATGAAAACTTAATTTTGCATTATGTTATGAACTTTGTTGTTTAGCAGGTAAATAAATACATTGTGTTGCAGATTATGTGCTTAAAAAGCATGCATAATTTTTTAGATTTACGTATCAGTAAATATTTGGCGTTTGTGTGCACATATTTGAGCACATCAAATATTTGAATAAAAACTACGGCGTTTCAATTTCTTTTGACATGAATTTAGATTTTCACAATTTCAAAGTACCTGTACGAAATGAACGAACCAGCATATATATTACCGAGTGAAACTTCTTTGCAAAAATAGTTTCACCGCAGTGTAGCAATGTTATGCCATAAAAACACTTGTCTAGAAAAACCTCATTGCCACGAAACCTCAATTCAAGGTTAAACAGTCATATTACCCTTGCATCATTTAATCAATTTCAAGCTTAAAAGCTTGTTATAGGAGCTTATATGCTCTAAGTATTCTCAATTTTAGAACATGGCATATTTTACTTGTTATCATTTGTATCTTATTCAAATTGAAATTAGGAAGGAACAGTGCAGAAGTGAAAGGAAAACAAAAGGAGAAGTAAACAGACGAGATCACCATGTCTTGTCTTACTTCATTTAACATTCTCACTGTTCTTTAGAAGATGCACGATCACCAGCTCCTTCTGAAATCTAAATATTGCTGCTACGCAAAACTGCTTCCACTTGACTGCAAACGAAAAAGAAGGAAATACGCACATGCCTTGTTTCATTTGTAAAAAAATATTGTGCACGTCAGTTGTGTAATGACAAATAGGCTTATATTCAGTAAAACCTCATTCACAGTAAAACCTCATTAACTTGAACACTGTTATTTGAAAATACTCTTTAGTTCGAAGGATTTCTGTGGTTCCCGTATTTTGCAATTTAAGTTTGAGTGAATAATTAGAAGTGGTGCTCAGCACCAGTCTGGTTGATTTGAAAACTTCGGGAGCCGTGTGCCGAGTCCCGACCCTGACTACGCCGCAAAGCCACGTAAGCTGTGGCCTTTAGAAGTCACAAGGCAATGCAGTGTAGTGATACTAAATGAGTGACAGGTGAAGCATCCCAGCCACGCTTCTGCTAGCGCAGAAAAAAAAAAAAGGTGTTTTGTGATCAACCTAAATCTGCGCCTGTGGAAAAGAAGACATGCTTCACTGCACCACAGTGGTCACAAGCTTCCAGCATGTTACATACTACTCGCGACGTCGCCACATTATAAATTACCCATTCTTTCTGGAAATATAACAAAAATAATAAAGGTCAGTCTAATTAAATTTGCGATGAATGCGAATTTCCAATTCGCTGCTGCTCTAGCAATTTGCGCACTTGCGCTGCTGGTGAAGCTCGTGTCTGCAACGCCTACTTCTGAAGCTCAGTTCGAAATTTCCAGTTATCGTGTTTTCCAGCCAAAACACATCGCGAATTCCCTTACACTGGCCATTATTAAGTTATTTATTTCAGCAAAAATAAAAGCCAAATGGTTGTCGCACCATGACGCAGAGAATCTGCTAGGCAGCGTTACTAGAACCAGCTCAGCTTTGCAGCTGCGCGCGCGGGCCGGCACAAGCGGCTGACACATGAATAGCGCTGCTGTTCCGTTTTGCTTCACATACTGCGCCGTGCGTCGCAATGCACGTGTTGCTGCTCAGACACGACATCACGTTTTCAGCACTCGCTTACTTCTTTGCGCCATTATTTAGGGAACTGTCGTCTTTTACGAAAGAGTTCTAACTTGTGACGAGGGACGCAACGTCCCTCGTCACAACTTTTCTTGTTTTGCGCCGGGCTGCAAAAGCATCTACAGAAATGACACCGATCACGCTTTCGTTGAACCAACCCGAGATCCCAATGAGTTTAAAGAATTGGGGGACCCTTAAGGTTCACCTTGAAAAGTTGAACGCAATAGCCATAATCTGTATCAAGTGCGTACTTTAAGCTCTTTGTGCATGAAATATTTTCTAACTTTCTATGCACCCAATATGTTGCCTTAAGCAAGTAGGTACAGTAACGTGTGTGCCTCTTGTAGTGGATGACCAACTTTAAACCATCAAGCCATTATGATAATTGCATGTTCTGACACCCGATGGCAATGTACGCTTGTACCATGCATTATTACTGCAACAATTCATGTTGTACTAGTTGTACTACTGTGAAGCGCCTATTCAGGCCGCGTGTGTTTGTAAAGCATGAAAGTTACTTTCGCTGCATTTCTAGAGGAGATTATTTTCACTGTATTCACAAGCATACGTGTGCCTTATTCCAAGAAAAAGACTGTACAAAGACTTGATTGATGTAATGATGCCCACAGCGTTACAGAGATAACTAAAGAATAACACCCCTGGGCTAGACGTGCGAAAGAAAGTGAGGAGACTGACAGGGGATCTATAGAATCGTTTTTCTTCAAGTTACACATGAGCCCATTGCCTGTGAAAACATGGCTGAAAGACAAAGGCATATTTATATTGAAACGAAGATGCGTGAGCCAATGGGGCGCGGAAGAAGAAGAAGAGTAGTGGAGCGGCGCCTGGACTGTGTGGTTGGGTGGAAGCGTTCTAGGCCTGTCTCAGAAGTACGCTGCTATTTCACAACGCCATTTCACCTCATCTGTAAATAAACACAGTCACTCGTAACAGTTTGGTGGAGGTGCTGGGTACATCGATCTGGACGACCCAGCTCTACCGATTTTGCGACGGAGCAGACGCTTGGCAGGCTTGCCACCGCAGCTACCAGACATGGAGGACGCGGAAGCAGGCTATAACAACCTCGTTGCTGATGAGCAACACGCTCACCCGCCAGGACAAGATCGCTGCGGCATGCCAGAACGTCAGCCGAGGACCTTTTCGGGGCAGCCGGACGACGATGTTGACGACTGGCTCAAGCACTACCAAAGAGTGAGTCGCAGCAACCGCTGGAGCACTGCTAAGCAGCTCGAGAACGTGGTGTTTTTTCTCGTCGGCACCGTGTCTCTTTGGTTCGACAACCATGAGAGTGCATTGACCACATGGGATATATTCGTGGATGAGTTGAAGAGGTGTTTTGGTGACTCAACAGCTAAGGTCAAGCAGGCGGAGCAAACGCTTTCACGCAGAGCTCAGTTACCTGGCGAAACATGCACCACCTACATCGAGGCCGTCTTGAAGCTTTGCGGAATCGTGAGTGCGACCATGTGTGACGAAGACAAGGTAGGTCATCTGCTCAAGGGAATCGCGGAAGACGTGTAACATTTTGTTATCACTAAGGAAGACTTACACACACCTTCCGACGTAAGGAGACACTGCCGAGCGTTTGAAGCGCTAAAGAGGAGGAGAGTCCTACCGAAATTTGGACGTCTTGAGAATGTGCCCGTGATTGCAAGTGTCAACCTTCCATCGCAGGACTACATCTTTTTTCTTATAAGACAAGTGGTTAAGGAAGAACTTGCTCAACTGCAAGCTGTGGACACCGCTGGTGTCTGCCATCAGTGTGCATTCGACCAACGGCCCCGTGAACCACTGGTACCTCGGATGCGACAGAGGTACTTTGAGCCTCGCCCGAATTACACCGATCGTTTCGAACGAAGGAGTGAACGACCACTCGTAAACCAGGAACGCGGGCATGCTGCGTCACAGCGATTTACTCCTCGACCACCATCGCCCGGCTTTTATCAACCGACGAGGTTTACTTCGCCGGGGACAACTAGGCGCGACACCCGTACTTTCTACAACTGCGGGCTACGTGAACGCATGAAGCTCCTTCATTTCGGGGAGGGCACCCACTTGAAATGGTCATTTTTTGGTCTCTATGCCATGGCAAAAAAAAGTTTTGGGAGGAAGGTGGGGCATGGGGCCAGTGTGCTACCCTCTGGCTACGCCCCTGCATGGACGCAAACTGCACTCTTTGCAACAAACCAAAAATGATTGAACACGCCATTATTCACTTCTTGGATCCAATATTTTTTAACATGTGTTACAAAAAACCCTGAAGAAAGATCTGCTGATGACACCTCATGGGATACGTTATCTATAATTACAGAATGAGGGTGGTGTTACATATGATATGATATTGTTACTGGGCCTTTACAGTCTCTGGATAACACGCATGGGCATGAGGCTTATGGATTCTAAAGCAAAATTGGCACGGGAAACTTTCCTGAATGTGTAACACATGTTCGCGAGATATATCGAACGTTGAATGAACCTCCAGATTGTATTGAGATGTTTGATGAATTAGTGAGAATGAAGTATTTTTAAACCATCACAATGGTGGAGTGGACCAGTGTGGTTTTTATGAAAATAAATTTCGTAATTTTGAAATCAAAATGTTATATAAACAGGCGCGTGTCTGTGTGGTATAACACCCACTTTCTGTGCAAATTCCCAGGGTTGAATCCCCGCTGTGAACCACAGTTTGTAATTTTTATTTTTTGTGAATATTTCTCAATTTTTACGTCACGTCCAAGATGATAATTTTTCCCTTACAACCAACTACGCCGACGCCAGAATTTCTGCAAAACTAGCTCTTTAACACTGCTGCGTTAAGAGAGTAAACGGATGCTGAGCCGCAAGAAATGGCGGCTCACTCACAAGTCCAAGGTATGTGAGAGACATTTAGAGGGGCAGGATATTGTAAAAATTATAAGCACTTTATAAATAGAAATGAAATATTTCTACCTCGCGAAAAAGGGCGCCAGGGGCATTGCCTCGCCTTTATCCCGGTCTGCCAGAGCGCATACCCACAAGAGATGACCAGGACAAACAGGTTGCAAAAAATGAATAAATAAACCGTGCGGGGATGACTTCATGCCAGGCAATGAAACAGGGCTGTCATAGAGTCCGGCGAGTGGTTCTTGCAACGACGGATCTCCGGGCGTCTTTGACATCACGTCAGCTACACCGTTCGCGTTCAATAAATTCAGTGATGAACGTCTCGTTGCCTTCTGCGTTTCGACGCCAAGAATTAATCGGTGACGCCGTGTCAGGGATGATGTGCGGTGTTTTATACTGCATAACTCTTGTTCCCGGAGAACTGCTCGTACAAAAACTGTTATTGCTGAACGAGGTGGCAGCTGCACTATTAACGGCTACAACAAAGTGTACAAGCAACGGTTTCACAATCTGATTACAGTCGCCCATTTGGGAAGTTTAGGTAGACAGGCTGAACATCTGTGGATGCATACCACCAGACGAGAATGTGCACCCAACCGTTACTGTTCATCATAAACACTGCCCAGTCTTTACAAAGTGGCTCACTTGCTTTCTTCCCCTGCGCCTACGGAGACCATTGCGAATCTGCAAAGGTGGTGAAAACCAGTATACAAGAGGTTCGCGACCTCTTAAAGAGATATCCACGCGTGTGGCTGCCGCAAAAAGGAACAAGATGAGGACATCTTCGCTCTTAAGTGAAAGCTTTCTTCAGTTTCGAATGAGGGAATCGAACGTGTCCTCGCTGAGCTTCCTCTTTTGCTAAGGCTGTCATTTATGACATCACTGAAGTAATGAGTGCTGGGTAATAAACAAGTGAAAGTATGTGAGAGAGATGGCTAATATTTTAGCCATCTCGTGAGAGGCAGATAACTGCTCTCTTTAATTTCTTCTCACGAGAGAATTCTCTGCCGGCAAAGACAGCTAATATCTATGTGTTCCAAAAAAAAGCGACTGCGAGCAAACTGGATTTATAAAGTGTTTCCATGATAGCACGGCGGCCATTTAGTTAGGAAATTTTACAGGCCCATGAACACCGGAAAGGTCATGAAAGATGCCCAGCTGATTGGAAAAAAATAAACTGCCCCACCAGACGAGTCACCAGAATAGAAGGAGGACCGCGGACTGAAAACTCGTCCTGTGTACTTCAATTTTTATGTCTCGTCTTTTGCGCAGTTTATTTTTCTAATCATGTCTTACTAACTAGTGCCCAACACAAGCTTCTCATACCCAGCCGATTCCGCTCGAAAAATGCGTTCTGGGGACTGTAAAAATAAATGAATAAAAATAAGCAAAAAAGTAAAAAGAAGTAAATAAAAAGACGTTCGCCGAATAATAAAGGTTTCTGAATGTTAGTGGTGATTATGGAACAAATGTTTTACAAATTTTGGTTTTTGAAGCAGTTGAGTTTACTGCGCAAATGTCAATGGCGAATGTTGGTTCGCACGACTGGCTAGAGCTGCGACGACAATGCGGATCGTTCGCCCTCCAGCAGACGATGCGTGCGTCTTGAAGCAAGATGGCAGAGCAGCGCCACTAGTTCTCGCGTCCGCCACCGCGGCCACTTCGGAGAGCTCGTGCCTATGGGGAGCTGAAATTGGCCTGGTTCTAGTAACGTTGCTGTGAGGAGCAGGTGACATGCTACCCGCGTGTCACCGCTGTGTTGCAGTGAAGCACAGTAGTTTTTCTGCAGGTGCACATTTCAGTTGACTACAGCATCCCCCCCCCCCCCCCCCCCCCTGCCCCTCTGACAGCAGCAGTGCCCGCCGTTCACCCAAGTTTGCAGCAAGATTGGGCCCTGGTATTGCGGGAAAGCGTAACACTTGGAGCTGCGAGCTATCTGACACAGCAAACGACCACCTCTGATTACTTTCAATAATTCAAAGTTTCTTGAATCCCGCTTTTTGTATGTTTAGTCAACGCGAAAACTCACTTAATTTGAAGATATTTTACTGTCCCAATGACTTCGAATGGATGTCGGTCTACTGCATTATATTTGAACTATATGATTTGACATCATTCTATCAAATCACTATTCACTTGGAATTTGCATGAAGCCTGAAATTTCTTATTCGTACATCTCTAGTAAACAGATTAGAAGTGTGGAATATATAAATCTTCTTTCTTAGAAAAAAAACTGCTTTCATGGGAGATGCTTATTGTAATTTTGGGCCTTTTGGTGTAATCAATTTGTGGCCAATGCACACCATTAAAAAGGATTTTATTTGAGTTTTGTATTTATGTTAAGTATGGTATAGGTACCGGTTAGCGCATAAAAGAACACTTGCAAAGCTGCCTAGAGAAGTAACAAGGTCAATGCGACATGTGTCGTGGCATAAGGTCATTTGATGTAGCACTTAATTTCAAATTTACTCTTTGTGCATGCAGCCTTTTGGCATTCTAAAGCTGTTCTATATATTGTTAAAAATTCTGTTTATGTCACTTAAGCTGTTATACCTATAACGCTATCTATATGTTGTATTTGTAAACAGCAGGTTTGTGTTTGAGCCAACGTTTCAACAAGCAGACCGGTCTTCTTGAAAACTTCAAAATGCACGTTTGCTTTTTAAGAAGACAAGTGCACTTGTCACAACGTTGGCTAAAGCATACAGCCCTTATTTACACACTTTCATTGTAAGCTTCCATCTTCCCTTTTCTGCAATCATTTCAGATACATGTTATAGATGTGTGTTACAGCAGAGGTGCATTAACCTTGTGAACAACATATTTTCATTGGTTTCATCATACCCCTCCTTCCCCATTTTTTTTCAGACTGTTTCCATAGCAGGGCTTATTGTGAACCTGATTGGAATCCTCGCCTTTCGTCACACTCACTCGCACAGCAATGGTACTAGTCACAGCCACAGTCACAGTCATGGGCATAGTCATACGGGTGCCAACACAAATTTGCAAGGGGAGATGCATCACTTCGTACATTTTTCCTTTTGCAATACGCTGTCCTTTTTTTTTCTCCACTTATGACCACAGTACTGAGTACACATGTTTGGGCAAGATTTGTGACAGATTTTCGAAGATTTTGTAGCGTCGTTGTAATATCCATTCTGCAGGCCACACTTCTCATGCAGCTCGTGCCTAATCCTCGAGGCACGAGCCAGAGTAAAACACGCATATGCGCCTGGTGGTCTGAACGCCTGCAGCTGCCACCTGTCTGCTTAGTTTTGCATTAAAACAGCAAGACAGCGGCATGGCCATGTCGGCCGCCTTCACATTGTGTCACGTCTTTCGTCATGTCGGAACACTTACAACCATTAAACGCGTTCTGCTACACTTTTTCATTATGGTCAGAAAACACTGCTGATTGGTTGTTGGTGCTTTTAAGAACTTGAGAGCCAAATATTGCAGGACTGCGGGCGGCCTGGGATTTACAATAGATTCTCAAAGTCAACTAAAAATCTTTCTTATTTCGACAAATGAGGCCATAAACCCAAGGTTCGCAGCCATTTGCTGATTTGAGCATCGTGAGCTATGTAGTTACCGTGGCTTGTATGCAGTGGCAATCACGCTATAAGGAAGCAGCGCATTTAAAGAAAGAAAGAAAAAAAAAGCTAAAGTTCATCATCTTGCCCCCTCCTCCCCTCCTTTCCTCGTGTAGCTTTCAATGTGTTCATTGGTATAAAAAGCAGAAAGAGTTGCTTGAAAACTGCGACAAATCTGCAACTCCGCTCACACATGACTGATTTTAAAAACTTTTGCTGCAGTTATTGTGAGGCAACAAGCTTTTTTTAGCAAGATTGTTTGTTGTCCTAGTTAATACTGGCCTAATGACATATTTTAGCCGTGAAACAGAACATACACAGAGCAAAAGAACACACGGTGGCCGGCCCTGTTGTGTGTTCCTTCACCTTGTGTATGTGCTGTTTTGCGTCTGAAATGTGCCTTTAAGCTTTTTCAGGAAGCCATTCCACAATAGCTTGAAAAAATGTTACAGGGCCCTTTTTAGTCCTGTCATTACCGGTATTTATTTGTCTGTTTGCAGGTGTTTTCCTTCACATCCTAGCTGACACGTTAGGCAGTGTTGGCGTGATTGTATCATCCCTGCTGATTGACCAGTTTGGTCTGCTCGTGGCAGACCCTTTGTGCTCGGTGTTCATTGCCGTGCTCATTTTTGTCAGTGTGCTGCCTCTGCTCAAACATTCCTCCATGATATTAGTACTGAGAACGCCTCTTCAGTTAGAAGGCAAGAAGCTGACGTCCATGCTAAGCAAAGTAAGGAGTGAGCCACCAGTGTTGCATGTTTTACTTGTGCCATCTAGTATTAGCTTTGACTCATTAGGGAGTTTTAGATTTATATTTTTTTACATAAATGGTTTTCAGCACTCAAAAAAAACTTCACATACTCGAGCATTTTGTATGCCGGGCAGTTCACATGCCCCAGCATTGGGAATGCTAATAATCTCTACTGCAGATTTTTGTTAGTCTGTAGTGTTCAGCTTATCCTGACTTCAGCCAAAGCTTTGTTTGTGTGGAATGGAACAAACAGCATTGTTACGAGTGCTGAGGATATTTTACGAAAGTCATGGGTGCTACATAATATGTGTAGATTGCATCAAAGTGCTACATTTGCAAAT